TGTTCAATATTTTTTTATTCTATGCGAAATCTTTTAGCCCATTCTTTTGCTGAAGAATCTCAATCAGAGTCATATCAGCGTAACCACTCTCCAAAATGTGTTTCGATTCATTAAGATTTGAATTTCCTTTAGTCAAAAATCTAATTATTGCACGGTATTCAGGTTTAAACATTTCTTAAAAATTTTTACAAAATAACTGAAGTGATTATGCTAACTATACCTTTAAATATGCTTCCTCAAAAGTGCCAATATAAAGAGAAACTGATTAAGAAATGAATTTTAAATGGCACCAATGGGGATCATGCTAGGAATCTCTTAAATTATTATATATATTCTTTATTTATTTGGTCCAGTGTCACGGTTTTGACATCAGTGTAAAGACATTTCCTCATCACCATTTGATAGCTAACAGTGGACAAAAGAACTGCTGAATTCAGCTTAAAGATTTCATTTTAACGTTGATTTAGGTTGTTACTGTGCGGAATAAAATTATAAGGTACCTAAAAAAATTTTAAGATGAATGAGAAGGAAAATATCATTGTAAACATGCGTAAGTACTTTTAAGATTTTTTTGTAAGTTAAAATCTACATAAACAAAAATATGAGACAGAATGCTTTACCTCTAATGCTGCTCACAGAGATAAGTTAATACTGCATGATTTAGTTAACTGGGTAAAGAAGTAGAAAAACATTCTAATTGAGAAGTTTTGGGAAATTAGAAGATATGACATGTAAAACACAAATGCAAGAAAATGATGAAGTTTGTGTACTTTAGAGTCTTAGAAATCTCTACAGCATCGATAAGCGTTGTTGCGATAAATATATGACCCTTCTTGGTCTTCATTTGTATTTGTTATAAAATCGATGAAATGCCTCTGAAGGTGGTCTCCGTGTATATACGCTAGGATCAAGCTTCACGTATGTTTATGTACTAAGCTGAATATCCTATCAACTTACGATAAAATATAATTTGAAACTAGCAAATTCAAAATGATTTGCTCTGATGTTTGAACAGCAATTGAAACTCCAGTTCCGTGAAACTGGAGAAGAAATCGCCGCTGATCAACTTCACTTTTGACAGAAAACCAAGTCTTGGGACTTTTATAAATTGTTTCCTGATCAGAAAACTTCTAATATATACGATGCAGATGGGTGTCATTCAATTTTGCTTTAATAAGTGCTCAAATTGGGATTCTTTAGGTACTAATTTGAGCAGGATTTTATGCATTATTATCAATTTTGCTAGCACCAAAATTAATACAAATGCTTTTTTAAATTTCTTAAAACACCTTAATTCATATATTAAAAAAGTTCTGTAATGACGTAAATGCATGTTTTAACAAGATAATGCATTCAGTCATGAATAAATATGGACAAAACAGTGACTTCAGCAACAAATACTGGAAATATTCCTTAGCCTTAGCGATTTCCTGACCTCAGCCCCATGGGATATCAGCGCGGGGAATTCTATCCAACACTATTTACCAAGTGACTGACAGCAATTTCCGATCGCTGCGCAGTTGAAACGCGATAACTCAAATGCAGGAGGACATTTCCTCTCAAACTTTGCAGATATATTTGAAAAGATGCTTAATATTATTTTTGAATAAATAAAAAAGGGAAATTTTACATTAATTTCCCTCTTTCGAATTTATATCGAGTTATTTTTATTGATTTAGATAGTAACTTATTATTCTGGTTCTTCGCATTTTATATTTTTACTTTATAACATCGTACGAAAAGGAATTGAAAGTTTCTGAATGTTGTGATATGACCCTTTGCACGATCATACTACTTATTTTCTTCGTTATTCTCATGCTTATTCCTTCTTGTAATTCTCAGAGAATTACAAAACGTATTATATATTTTTTAATTTTAATTAAAATTAATTTTATCTAAGGTGTACGGTTTGTAATAGAATCAAGTTGAATGTTCAACCTTATTAAAACTGCTTAATATTCTGAATTTCTTCCGTAATCTTCTTATAATTGCTAACTTTCCCGTTTTATTACAACTTAATTTGTTATCTAAGGTGTACGGTTTGTAATAGAATCAGTGATGTCAATTTAATGCTTAATATTCCGTAGCTTATAGTGACAGTTATCTTACTTAGCTATCTCAAATGGTGTGAGGGAAATGACTTTAAGACTGCGCATAGTGACAATCTCTTATCTATCTCAAATGCTTTTTAAAGTTAACTTTTGTACATCATAGGCTAACATACAATAAATCATCCTTGCACACCTGTTCACGAGAGACTTCATTATCCTATTTATTTTCGTAGCCTGTATACAACAGAATAAAAAATGTAGAAGAGGAAAAGAAATTTAATCTGAAATTAAGTGCCTTTACTCAATAAAAGCAACTTCAGATCGGTTTTTCTTCCCCCAAATACATACTTCTATTAGTTAAATGCTCGAAACAAAGGCATAAAAAATATAACACTGTAATTTATTCTTTGTAAATTTTTTATACTTAGTTTAACATTGTATTTTATGAGTTTTAACGAGATCGTTCTTTACTTGCTTTTACTACCGTTGAAGTGCACTCCAATTCATGAAATTTTAATTGATAACAGGAACTCTTAGTTAATTTAAACCGTTAATGTTCTCTGATGCGTCTACTTTTCTTGTATGGGTATTCTTGTATGGTATTCGGAGTATTAACGAAGAGTTGAATTTAAAAAACGAATAAATCTCTTATTTTATTTGCAGATTTCTTAGCAGAAAATGTGACATCATATATAATCTTAACAATTTACATCTGCCTTCTTATAATATCTTAATAATTTACTTCTGACCTAATTAGTTGTAATTAACTAGATACTTGCTTAAACTTACTTAGATACTCCGAACTAGATACTTACTTAGATACTCCGAATGCTAATTAAATCTCTTATTTTATTTCCTGATTTCTTAGCAGAATATGGGACACATATATAATCTTAACAATTTACATCTGCCTTCTTATAATATCTTAATAATTTACTTCTGACCTAATTAGTTGTAATTAACTAGATACTTACTTAATTGAACATCTACTAATCTACTTCATATCTCAAATAAGGTATTTAACTGAATACAACTCTCTTAGAAAAGTATTCTGGGCAGTATAAACTTTTGCATTTTTAGACCTTTTTATACTTATATAATGAATCCTAACATTTTTAGTGACTAATGAAACACAAAACTATTGAATCATGTTCTTATTTTATTTGAACATAAATTATACTTAGTCAAAAGTTACGAGATTCCTGATGCCTACTTAAATATTTACCATTACGCCTTTCCCCAGCAGCTTTAAATACAGAGTACTTTCAAATAATTTCGAATGGGCCTTAACAAAAGGTACATAATTCGAAGCAGTAACATAATAACTGATTTAAATTCTAAGAATTTATTTAAGTAAACTTTTAAATCGGATATTACGTCTTCAGCACACAATACCTATATTTAGCACTCTAAACACACGCAGTAAAACTGAGAGATGGTAATGCTTAAATATGATCGAACTAGACTGTCATAGTAAAACGCGAATAAATATTTTTATCTTCAGTAAACATTTACAAAATACAGCTTTTCCAGAAAGTGAGGAAAGTATACTACCCTTCAAAATGGCATTCTTTCATCCAAACCCAAGCTCCTTTCGTGACACGTTATACCCAACTGTGTGTGATTCATATTTTTGCTTTGACTTGTCTTCACGTTTGTCAATATTCGCTTCTTCTGCATGCTGCTTCATGTGTACTATCTTCTTTCTCCAACTGTATGTCTTTGTCATTCCTACTGCGCGTTTTGCAGCTATTCACAGATTTATGTCCTCGTTAAAATGTAACGTGACCTCAGTTTTAGCCAGCTTCAAAATTTTTCATACATTATTCTACATTGTCCTGTCGGAAAATGTTTTATTCATTCTTGTACCTCCCATTTTTATATCTCTCTTCGGCAAAAAAGTAAAGCTTGAAAATATCACTCTGCAGTTTTACTGAAATAATTAAATAACTATACATTTTGCATTTAAAATGTAACTAATTCCTCCTAAGACAGTTTATCACGTGTTCTTTATTTTGGGTATATTAATGTCATACTAAGTCTATTATATTAATGTCAGTTCTTCAATTTGCATAATTTTGCTCATTAACAAAAACTCAACAAACCCATACGTTCGTAGAATTGTATTGCATGTTAAAAAAGGAAAGAGTTCTGAGGCTCATACATGCAAAAACGATCGTTCAATACGTTAAATATTTTCAATATAAATTTTTGGTTACTTTTTAGCAGCAATTCTAAAATAAAAATTTCAGTTTCTCCGTATCGAATCGTGCATTGCACGTGTCATTAATCGCCTCGATTGGTAGATATGTGAGAAAGTGATTACCAATTTTATCGAGAGAGTACAGCACTGTAGAAGTCGTGGAGGACATATGAAATACATAATTTTGTATTCTTAAATTGGAACATTTACCTGCTGTACGTATGCAACCGTTCTCTAAAAACAAAGCATTATGTTGGGCAAATTAAATACAGCGCTTTTACTGGAACACCCTTTAGATTCATTCCATTTCAAACACTTTACGTTTTATTTGCTATTCACTTTGCAAATATGCATCGGACTAGCAAATGAACCTACTTTGCCATTAGAGCATATCTTAAGCATCCGTTAATGAATCTAACAACACTCATTTAAATATGTGCTTCGTAAATATATTCTCAAACACGTAACTATGGAGATTTGATACTATTCCGATTAACATTCAGCAAATAAAAGCTACGGAAATTTTCTCTCCTTTAATCGGGTTGTCCAATGAAGATCATAGGCTCTCACCTGTATACTGAAATTTGCTTCATTATGAAAACAATTAAAGCAAAGCTTATTTTGCTACAAATATCCTGTGCATAGCTACAAACAGCGCATTTTGCATGTTTAAGTGTAAATTCCAATCGTTGTTCCTCGTTTCTTCCCTTTTCTTCTCTTTGCCTCGATGACCTCCATCAGGAAGATTCCTATATTCAGGTTCAAGCTATCGCCTTAACATGCGTCGAGAAAATCATCGACAAATTAGAGAAGACGAATATACTTGATGAAGTCCTCCCGATGCTTGGTAAAGCTAAATTACAGGATCCAGCAATACTCATGCCGGTTGTAAGTAAGTGCATTTTATATCGCTCTCCTATTCTTTACGTTAATTAAAATACTTTAATTTTTTAAAATATCTGATCATCTTTCTTTTACAAAACCCTAATAAATAATCCAAAATATATTTATTTGCCTTATTCGAAAACAAAATATTTTTTCTTATCTCTTAAGTTTGCAAAATTCGGTGAATCTAAAATAAGCGCTCAAAAGAACGTTGTTAAGAGCTTATCATGTACTAATATAATCAATTCGGTTAGTATAATGTTTTTTAAAATATACTGTAATCAAATACACGACTTAGCGCTAAGTAACATTTCTGAAAAACACGCAATTCATACCGATAAAATTGCCTTAAAATTGTTACAGTTTAGTACAGAAATATTTTCTCTATCTTTAAATTATGAGAATCACAATTTAACTAAGAATCCCACTTACGAAGAGGTAGATCTACATAAATGAAGTTATTATATTTTACCATTCCCAAAGAGTTAGAAAAATTAAAAGTATAGTTTTTTAACATCTAAATTTAACGAATATTAATATCTCTTATTTAAAAGATAACAAAGTTTTTCTTAAATACCTCTGGAGTTTGCAAAAGGCAGTATACTGTTTGATAAATTATATTCGAGGAAAGCTGATCAGAATTTTTTTCCGTGGCTTCTTTAACATTTGTTCATTATTAATATATAATATCTTACGTCTAATATAAGCATCATATAAGAATTTTATAAACGTTAATTACACTCATAGAACGATACAACAAGGTAAGTATTCTAAATTGTGACTGATAATTCCTTCTTTCATTCAGTTCTAACTTCGTTAATAGTATTTGCATCTATCATTAATAACTAGAAATTTTCCAGAAAAAAAGTGAATTTATTTTGTATCAGGTATATATTAAAACGATCAATAACAAATTAAAGCTCAATATAATTAATTTAGCTCTTCATCTTTTCGTAGGAATTTACAAGCATATGTTGGGGGAAAAGAAGTATGGATTAACAGTTAACTTACTTGCAACCAAAGTAATGCCAGCTCTTATCCCTGTAGTTGTAAGTCCTGGCCTCAAACTGGATCAGGTAAGCTCAGAATTATTTCATTGAAATTGAATTGCTTGAATATGTCATGATATCAGTAGCTCAGTACTGAAATTTTAGTATGTGTTAGAGAGAAAATATATCTTAAGTTTTGTTTACAACGAATGCCATGGCGAAGAAGGGACTTTACACTCAAAAAACAAGAGTTTTATTATAAAATTCATCACCAATGCGCTATGTCGTTGTTGTTGCTAATGCTGACTTGTCAGCCTTGCCACGAAACTTGCGCTCCTTGACACGAAAGTCCTCGTGGACTCAGTTCAGCCCCTAATTTTGATGAAGAGCATCCCGGGGGGGGGCGGGTCTGAGGGTCTCCCACCAATCTTCCCCCACCTACAACCTCTGGAGAGTATTTTCGGCTCGCCATATATTTAGGGTGCCCCCCATGCCTCAGTGACACTATACATTTACAAACATCCATGCCTTCTCCGGGATGCATATTTCACAAGTGCACATCTATGTAGCCACCGAGGGAGTGGCTTCTAGGATGGACCAATGAGCATCCAGTAATATTTCTGTCATGTCACATGACCTTTCGCGTGCTTTGAGATTTAAGCAAGATGATTGAAAATATTCTGCCACGCAATTTTCTGTAAAAAATAATTAAAGAATAGTCGATTGCTTCTGAAACTTTTCATTGCGAAGTTAGATCAAATATAGGCAATTATGAAGATTTCACTATCTGGTTGAAATAAATGCAAACACATGTTGGATATTTCGCAAAAATATAGATGTGAAATATTACTCAATACGTGGTAAATAAGATGAAGAAAGAAATATGTGATAAACATCTGAGCCCAAATGCAGTCTTACATAAAACTATGCGTATGAGAAAAATATTTTCACCACTTATATATGTAATTAGAAGTCAGCACTTTTTATTGCAGTCTATATGAAAAAGATGTTCTATAATACTAACCAATGCAGAATTTTAGTCAAAGTGAAATTTACTAATTTGCATTCGTATACATTGTGTTAAATTTCACATTTAATAACTGCTCTCTCTTAAGGGAACTGTCTACACAAGAAATACTCATGAAGCAAAGTGAATTTATCTTATTCACAACGAGTATATTCAATTTATTGACATATAACTTTTAATTTTAACAATGGATACAATCAGACCAAACACATATGTGTTCTGAATCTTACACTTTAAAAATCAAAAGAATGCAAGTACTGAAATAAGAAAACACTAGATTCATTGTAACACTTTCAGTTTCATTCTTCATCTCAATAATAAAAAAAATAACTACACACTTGAATTTTCTTAATTTCTGAATCCACAGGTCTTAGTAAATGCATAAAATTCCAGGCTAATTATAGCTTGAGTCATTTTTTCCTTTTTTCAAGAGCGATATATGCATAAACATTAATCTAAATATTAATGCGTGATAAAAAATCTCGAAAGTGAAATGTCAGCGATTAATTAAACTCAGAAAACGAAAGCGCTGCAAGATTTTCTACTATTACGCCATATATTTATAACTGCGAAACAAATTCAAATTAAAACGTAAACAACATACGCTCACATGCACGAAGATTTCGCGTCACAAGAGCAATAGCAGCTCATTGGTTCATTTTCGAAACCCCTCCCTCAGTGGCTACGCTGATGTGCACTTGTGAAATATGCCTCCGGGATTCGAACCCGATTCCTTCGGCGCGGCAGTCAACGATGCTACACCGGTTGAGCGGCACTGCACTATGTGATATGAAAGATAATAATAAAATAAGCAGCAAAATCTAGATCTCGTAATCGTCGAATCTCCTCATTAATTTGAATCAAATTTAAGGAAGTAGAAAACTATAGATGGTGTAATGAGGAAAGAAGGAGGCTTTTGCAATATTTTCTGCGGTAAAAGGTCAGTAATCAGTGGTTTGATTTGGTTTATTTAATTATGGCAAAGCACACTAGGGCTATCTGCCTAAGGGTGCCTTCGTGGAGGGCTTTCTAAGGGAAACTGGCTCGTATACACTTTACACATGGGGAAAACCACGAAAACGCCCATGCAGCCAGCCCGTTCGCGGGATTCGAACCTCGGACCGAACTACCAGTGTTCAGCGACTTTACCGCTTGGCCGCTGGTGGGCCCAGTAATCAGTGATCGGACTGTCAGTGATCATTAGTTATTATCTTACATTTTATAGTATATAAATGCATATTTACTGTTAGAGTAAATATAATTATAAGGTGCAAAAGGTAATATTTTAAAAATAACTGTTTCTCGAGCCCTATGTTTCTTCCCCTTTCCCTATTAGAACCGTTGATTCCTAAAACTGTGAAGATAACCGATGGATACTTCCATACATCAGCCAACCGCCATGTGCATTATGAAACATTGATCGTTATTTCAACAGAGGTAAAAATGGTGATTGAAGATACCTTCCAAAAAATAGTTTATTTATATAATATCAGTTCAGCAAGCAGATTTACTCTTGGTACAAAAACGTATACCAAATTTTAGCCAGCCCTTCATCAGCCTGGAAAATATAGCAGAATTTGTATATCAAATAAAAGTTGAAAAATAAAAATGGTGAAACATAAGGCAGCAGTATAATCACAGGTTTGAGTATATAGTTTAAATTTATATTATGATGCTTTAGAAAACGTAGAATTAGTGCCAATAAAATATCATTAGCACATTTTCTCCGTTTTTGAAACCATCACATGTTTAATAAAGTTCTTTATTTTCTATTCTGCTGTAAAATTATTATCCTAATTTTACAGCAGAATAATTTGCTGTAAAATTAGGATAATAATTTTTTTGTATATTTTTAATTTTATGCTATATTATGCAGAAGTTGTGTCTGAACGGAAATAGGAAAACATAGGATAATGAAGAACGAAAACGTTATTTAACTGAAAGTGAAACCTAGTATATTGAAAACTTGTTATGTTGTTAAAATAAGCAAGTTGTTAAAATAAAACATATTGAAACATTTATATTTCAAAAAGTAAAACTAAAGAAATATGATGTCATTATCATTATTTTATGAAGCAACATTTAAAAAGATAATTTAAAACAAATTAAGCGAGTATTTTTACTAATATAAGCTTGCTACTGAAAGTAAGCATTATGGCATTAGATTTGAATATCGGCAGTTAGTAGCAAGTCTCTAGAGTTCTCTGATTGCTATTATGATTAACCTTTTAGTAGTTGAAACTATTCTTGGTAACAAAGTAGTGATTTTTCAATATACTAACAGTTGCTTTTATTAGCACCTTTCAGTGCTTATTGTCATTGGTACTTTTCCGTTTCGCCGGCGCAAATCTCGCCAAGCAGACTTCATTAGCGACAACATACAGTATACACATAAAAAATATTTAAAAAAAATGTTAGTTCTAAAATTTTTTTTTTTTTTTTTTTAGGCATAAACATTTTAATATCGCTTAAAATTTTATAAAAATCCAATAAATAAAGACAATAAATTTGTAAAAAGACATTAATTTGAGAATTTACTATGCTTTCATGGTTCAACATCCTGATTCGCCGGTTTCTATCACGTGACCCCAAGCGTTCTCATCTCACGTAAACTACTCTACAAAAATCTAATGCTATCAGTAATTATCTACATTAATTTCAAGTTAAATCTTAATTTGGAACACGAGTTTAAATGCAAGAAATACTTCAATGCGTACGAATAGCTTACTCATAAATTATGTAAAAGTGCAGTACTTTACTTCGCTAATTCATTTCATTAGAATTGATGAATTTAACCATTTACCTTTTCTATATTTTCGGCTTCGGGTAAGCGCTGAGATTGCATCATAATTGACTTAATTACCGAAAATGGCCTTAGACATAAAACTGAACTATCTGATAAAAATTCTATGTAATTATATGCCAGTATTGAAAGAAACAATCAATCTGATAAAAAAAAAGGTGCGACTTGTTTTGAAAATGTGGCGTAAAAGGTTACCAGCGAGAATAATCCGTTTGGCATCGGTTGTACCATTATTGGCGACTTTATCACTTGCGCCGGCAAAACGGAAAAGTACCTTGTCATTATTACTTTGTGTCTGAAATTTACTACTTTAATTTCGTATAGTTTACCAGTCTTGTTGAGCTCCTCAGAGAGATGTTGGACCACGTAGCAAGGAATCAAAGAAACAAGCTCAAACTAGAGAAACTTTCTTCAACAGAAATGTAAGTGTGGCATTTTGTTTTAGTATTCAATAAATGTATAATACCAAAAGCAATATAACTTCTTCGGAGTTCCTCCACATCTCATCCATAGTATATGATAATTGTGATATCGCTTAATCACCAAAATTAATCGTATTTTAATCCTGCTAAAGGCGTAATTTAAATCATGAGTTATAATAGGAAGCTATATATGAAATTCTCTATAATGGAAAAAATAATAAAATATTTAAATAACTAGTTTTGTTATTAAATAAACAGCTTTTTAAAATTTTTCTCTGACTGTTAGCGCTTAATGCCAAAGGGATTAAATATTGGCTAATTATTATTCGTCTTGCAAAAGCCACCTGTCCTAATGGAAAAATGCTTTTCAAGTAGGACATTTTGAGCAAATAAATCATGTTTATGCTATCTGTGATCAAAAACAGTAACTTTTCCGCTGACATCACATTTCGTAAGTAATCAAAGTTAGAACTCCATTAATACTCAACTACTCTATCCAATTAGCTGCTGATGTAAAGAGAGTTTGCCTGAAACATGGCTAAATAGAAGGGATATTAGCATTCTCTCATTTGTAAAAGATTAAGAGCTTTAATAAAGCCGATTTGTAGAAGCGTGGTATATGTTTACCTGTCTGCAGTGTTATATTTGGACGCTGTGCTTGATTTAAAGCATTAATTCCTAATAAAGATGCAGCAGAAGGCAAAGAGAATGAATGAGCCAATTTATTAGTAGATTAGAAAGTCAAAGTATATTAATTAAGTTTCTTAGAACGTTCTCATTTGGGAACGATGTATGCAGGAAGACGTTAGTCAAATTATTGAAGATGACTAACTATGCCAAGCTGGAAATAATTTAGGACGTGAAGGCATGTTTCGAATACCAGTGACAGAACTATCGAGCACGACCATCCAAGTTGCTCGAAATTCTATCTGTGAAACTTATAAATTGTGTCACTCAGCTCTATTGTTGGTATTTAATGCAAGCACATTCTAAGTTTGACCTGCGAGAAGGAATTTGTTCATAAGAAGTCCAAGTCCCAAAATATGTACAAAAAGCATCACTAGGAAAGAATGAAGAAATTCGTTTAAAATTGTTTTCCGGCGAAGATTCATTCATCTAATTCCTATAAATTCGATTATTATTCTCAAAAGAGAGTTCTATATTTTTTTTAATTATTAAACAATCAACAGAGAATTTATGTATTTCCTTTTAGGCTTGATAAGTTCAATACTTATTATTTTAAATTTTCTTGTTAATCAGCATAATAAGCATTCCATTCTGTATTACTGAGATATCGACTTCTGTGTTTATTTGACAGCATTCCTACTACGTTCACAACAACTGCAGAACAATCAGCTAGTTATCCTCACAGACCTCCAACTCTGAGATTAGAATCTAGACGGCAATCCATCTCTGTTGACGACGTTGCCCGTCGATCATCTGGAACGAACGGCGGCTCAGGTACTTTTTTCCCAGAACTGTATAGTACAAGTGAGATAATACTCACATTATTCATTATATTTTACAAAATATGTAAGTTAGATTATTTTCAAATTTTTAGAAACATTGCGCATATGTCATTCAAAATTTACAAGGCTATTTTCACGTAGGGAGAAATGTAATGCAATAAACACAATTGCGCAAGTTCGAAGTATCTTTCTCAACCTGAAGGCACAACACCCATCTTTCTGTCCCTTTTCTAATGTGTGTTCAAAGCCTTTTTTCGATTTGGCATTCACGATATCCATTACGGTGGTCAAATAAATGTTTGAAATAGAATCGCACCATGTATCATTTTCTCCCTTCAGGGAAAAGATTGAAGTCACACACTGTCACATGCGGTGACAATGAGGATACGTTTCCTTTAAATACTATGGTCTTTGGTATCTCAGTAGGTGCACAAGAATACTTTGTAGCGACTTTACTTTATCCAAACAATTTTTTACAGTATTATGAATTTACCCAATATATATCTTTATTTTACTAGCAACGTTTTCAAGGATTACTCCTCAGTCTTCTCGTACGATTGTCTAAATTGTATGAATATTTACCCCAGTTACAAATATAAAAAAGTCTGCCGAATTGTGATATGGTTTTCGGATGCAGTTCAGCAATTACTTGTTTCTCTTGGCTCTCAGAAGTATTGAACTTGAGAAAGAATCTTACGTGTTATATTTTTTACATCATTTCGTGCTTTACTAAGCAGTTTTATTTAAACGCATACAGAATAAATTCTCTTTTAATAACATGGTTTGCAGTAAATAACAAAAATATGGTCACACGCCATATACTGAAACGACGGTAAACGTGCAGAATATTTTAACCTAACGTCGTAAAGTGACAACATGTGTCACGTCGCTAGCCAGTGAGTTTTTCTAAGTGGTTTTTATTTCGAGTTATGATGCTTGTCTCTTTATTTTTTGAATGTCCCTCGTACAGAATAAAATCAAAGCCCTATTAAGTAGCTGTTTAAAATGCCGAGACATATTATGCCAATAAAATGCGATTCTAAATCCGTAATGTTTAAACTTCAAATAACCAACGAATATATTATTTAAACTTGAAATGTTACAACTTGATAAGATTTCCTTGAGCTAGAATTTTGAAAAACTAAGTAGCGACTATATATTGAGTAATTGTAAGTAACAAGGTCCAAAGAAGGTTTAAATTGCCCTTTTATTTCAACTCAAAATAAATGAACAGATGGCCCCTTTCCTATGATGGCTTACAATAAGTCTCAACTTGAGCTATAACTTATTATTCAAAACAGAAAATATAAAACTAATCTAATGCTAACTAAAATAAACCAGCCGAAGCTGCACAGAATTAACTAACAGAGTTATTTAAGATCACCGGCGTGTATTAGCAGGCAAGTAGCAATATGGCTGAATAATACTAAGTTTAGACTAACAGCAACAACGTGGATGTAAGGCAGAACACGCTCTTCTACGCTCTATCTGAAGGGATCTAGACTTCATATTAAATACTTCATACTGTTCGTTTCTACCTTATTTACATAAATAGAAATTCTGAAAACTCATTCTAGCAGGGACACGTAGATGGCAAACGAGAAGGTAAATGAAAGGCTTGTTTCATAATAAAAATAACAGTTAGAAAAACAAAGCAGTCCCTACAAAACTTAAAGCTGATAAAAATGTTGGTTACATTTTTTTTTCCCAATTTGCTAATGTATCATAAAAGTTTTTATAATTATCTTTGACTCTATTTCCTCAATGCCCCTAAATTTCTGAAATGAAACATAATTCAGCACTACATTTTTCCCTTTGGTAATAAAAATTAAAGTGAAATAAAAAACATGCCTTGAATTCTACGGTAAATAAACAATCTAAGCGAACTTTTTCCCTGTGCGGATAATCTTCTTCATTTGTTCTGTAATTTCTAGTTAAATTACGAAGGTATTACGAAATACTAATATTGCAGAAATTGACTGCTGTTGGTTAACAGAGCTAACCGAGGTGATTTTAAAACACAAGCTTTGATTAACGTCCTGATGTCGTGTAATCTGTTATGAGTATTTTTTATTTTTATGATATTTGTATTAGCATTTCTAAATCTTTTCCTTGTTTTCCTTGTCTATTTTAAAGCAACATACTCGTATATTTTTATTGCTTGCATAGGGGAATAAAATTGATAAATACTTCAGTTCATATTATCCACTTTCAATACATACAACATCATATACTAAGTCGTTTCTTACACTAGACATTTTTTTTCACATTTAATCCAGCTCCGAATGCTGCGAGCCTATACTATTCAGCAATTATGATACTACCCTCTCGGAAAATAAAATTAGACTCAGTTTTAACGCATTGCACATGAACAATGCAAAGCTGTTCTATTATTTTTCTTATTCCCACAGTTGGTTTCTGAATTAAGAAAACCATAAAAATGTTATAATTGATCCGTAGCAAATAGCTATCCTAACTGTCACTTTAACAATTGTATACCTTAATTTTTTCTAAGTTTACATCGCAAACACTTCACGTAAGAAAGTGTTAGGTGGATAAGTAGCAAGTGCACCGTTATGATCATGTTTCTCATGACTTATTTCCATTCGTAATATTAGTGCAAAATCAAACTTTTAGGAACTAACAAGCCGTTTCGCTACTTAACTTATTTACAATTTCTCATTAACACTTTCACCGCCGGGGCCAATTTTTATGTTCTTCGCCGTGAGACGGCGCTCGAATTTTTGCCGCTTTTCATCTGGCGGCGCGCGATTATTACCTGTTCAGACCTGTATGCGAGTTGTACGTTTGCTAATTGTTATTAATTATAATTGTTATTAAAAAGTTTTTATAATAAATAAACATTAATTTTCATGATTTTAATTTTCAGCGTCTAATAACACAATCGAATGCGTATCATCGGTGGCACTCGCCGCCCAATAAGACAGACTAGTGCGGGCCACCGGTGGTACGTGCCGCCCGATGAGACAGACTAGTGCGGGGCCACTGGTGGCCGGCGCCGGTGTGAACGTGTTACGTTCTACAGCGTAAAATCTGATACCACTATTTTAGTGATAGAAAATTTTATTACCACTAAAAACACTGAAATTATACATAATTTCTTTCTACTCAAGTGTCAAAATTTTGCTAGATTTCATATGGTAAATATAGGAATTGTTCAGAGATCTCAGAAAGTACTTTGAATCAGCCAATGCATTTTGATGCCATAACTGTTGCAGTTATTTATAAATTTAAAATCTGAAGAGAATTCTACAAGAAATTTCAATTTCGGACATTTTTTTTAAGCTCAAACCAAGCACCTTTATATGCATCAAAATCCTTGAAATAATCCTTTTTATGTGCATCAAAAATCCTTAAAAGAAGCTGAGATATTTACAATTTAGCTTTTGCAGAGGCTTCATCTCCGGATTCAAATCTGCTGCGTGTTCAAGCCACCTTACCTGGAAGACGTCACTCCGATAACACCATTCAACCTCCCCGAATTCTCATTGCTCCTTCGAGTCCAGATGGATCCTACACCCCTGGAAATTTACAGATGAGAAGGCATTCTAGCGTCTGTCCTCAAGATGTGAGATTTCAGTTCTCATCTATGCAGAAGGTATGCTAAGTACAGAATAAGGTTTTAAAATGTTTATTTAATCAATTATTACCTTTGATTTGCACCTTAAACGTCTCGAATTTTATAAACAATTTAAGTAACTCAACGATCCTCGACGAGGGCATATTTGTTGTTGATTTTAGATGCTTATGATTATATATTGTTTTTATATGTATGTGTTGATTTTATATTTAGAGATTGGATTTTGTATGTTTTCCTTTCCTGAAGAAAACGCGGCGGTCTCGTCATCATTTTTGGGAGGGAGGGGGGGACGATTGAGTTCCTACCTTCTAACCTTATTGTCTTTTAAGTGCACGGAAAGCAAAGAATTATAAGCATTCCTTAGTATGTAAAGATTAGCACATGCAGCTGATTTTTTCTATCTCGTTGAATACTTATATACTATCAGCACAAATTTGACGAACAAGTTCAGTGCGTTATTATAAAATCTTTACAGATTTTAGATTGTTTCATTTTCTATGTCATTTTTTTCACAGTAGATGTATTTCCTGCAAGAATTAATTAATGCAAGACTTTATTTTAATACACGTGTTTCGTAAAAATGTCTTTGTAACGTCGTTAGGTTTTACTGCAGATTAACTTTTTGAAAAACTCATATAGTTTGGTTTATCTAATTATGGCAAAGCACACTAGGACTATCTGCCTAAGCGGAGAGAAGCCTTCGTGGAGGACTTTCTAAGGGAAACTGGCTCGTATACACGTTACACATGGGGAAAACCACGAAAACGCCCATGCAGCCAGCCCGTTCGCGGGATTCGAACCTCAAACCGAGCCTCGGACTGAACTATCAGTGTTCAGCGACTTTACCGCTCGGCCGCTAAGAAGCTAAAATCTCATACAGATACTATAATCAAGATCGGTTCTTAAAACCTTCTACACGAAAGACGTGGCTCCCATAATCCCATATTTCTCTTGCTTCATAGTTAGAAAAGATCTATAGCTATTCCTATTCTGTAGCTATTCAAATATTCTCGAAAAATATTTTTAATTTAAGTGAGATTTGCAGTAAAAGAACGAGTAGCTCAAATCGTTTTTAAAGCAATATTTATAATGGCGCTAAACAGTTGATGCCAGTGACTTTACCAGTTTAAAATTTCGACAATATATGGAAACGTGTATGATGCATACGAATCAACAAAAATGAAATCCTTCAAAATTGTAAAAAAATAGTACCATTGAATTCTTTGATTGTTTACAGAAGTTTCTGAAAATACCTGATGAGTTTCAGCAAAGAAAAAGTTAAGGTTGCCCATCGACATCGGCTGCACCTGTCGAACTAGTTGAAGGGACAATTTATAGCAGTTTTATAGCAGTCCAAGGAAACCATTAGCATACCAAAATTAGGATATGCTTTCATGCAGATAAAGGAATTTGGGCTGAGCAGTATTGAAGGCATGCTAAATCATTTCAGTTTTTATATTATGAATTTGTGTAACGGGAAACTTTTCAAGTCATTGTTATCTTCTACCACAAACTTCGTTTCAAGCCAGTGAACGATTTTCGCGTTATGGAAATGTATATTAATAAAACACTTTAGTAAAATTCCATGCTATTGAAAAATTTAAAAATAAATTTTAAATAGGTTTTTATTTTAAACAAGCATTTTAATAGATATGCATTCATTGGCAAAATTCCCGATCTTACCAAGGTATTTAGTAAAAGATTTTGACAAAAACGAGCTCATCGCTGTTTCTTTTTTTCCTCATCGCTGAAAAGATTGTGACAAAATAGCTCAGATTTTTCATGCAACAATTACTCAAACTGGAAAATGAAGCGTAAAATACGAGCGAAACGTATCAGCTGGATTGTTTCCAGAAAACGTTTCTCGTTTAACTGAAAGTAATGACAATGCTTTTCTATAACGGATGTTTCGTCATTTGAACTTAAGTAGCCACATCTCATTCTTCAAGTACTGCTTTTGAAAAGCTGGCACGTTTGTGTTGCTATGTAATTAGATAACGAGGATTTATAGCATCAACAAGAATGTAATAATCCCTGGTTATCCGCTGGAATTAGGATTTTCCGGTCCTCCACCTTTAATAAGATTATGAAGACTTAGGGTTCGGTTCGTAATCGCTATTCAAGCAGATTTTAAATGAGTGTGGTTAAACTGTTAACACTACGGACAGGAGATTTATTACTGTCGTATATTAATTGGATTAAGAATGAAAATCAGTTCAATAAAAATATTAATTAATATTTAAGTTATTAACAGGTAAAACAAATTGCGTTTTACAGCTTGATTTCCTAGCCCACCCCGGTTTTACATAATTCATTTACGTAAGTCTCCAGCAGATTCTGAATGCCTGTTTTAAACTTCTCCTTTCCATGAAAGGTTCTGGCTCAGAAATGTGATCAATTAACTATCCTCACGAGTTTAAAAAAAGAAATAAATAAAAGTATTTTAATATTTGTATCAGATACAGAAGATTAGATATATTATTCAAATGGCAGACCATACAAGGGCTATCTGCCAAGACAGTAATGGCAAACCTGTGACACGCGACAGATGTTTCGGTGGCATGCCAGAGGTACATTTTAAACTACTTTTTTTACTTACATTCGCTGAAAACAACGTATAGGATTTAGGATTTAGGAACGGGGAAGACGGGCACCATGCCTTTACCATTTGGTTAATTGGTTTAGCGCCGTCTCCCCACTACGTGATCCCAGCCGTTTATTGATATTAGCAAACAGATACATAATTTGAAATGAATACAAAATTTGCAATGATACATAATTGAAATGAATACATAATTTGCAATGATACACAGTTTGGAAGGTAAAAAAAAATGCATATGAACAGTAGGAGAGTACGGAACAAACAAACAAGTCATCTGTAAAAGAAAAATGTCTCCAAGACTAGAGGCCATCAAAGGTGGAATCAAAAACGAGCACGAACATGAGCACCACTATAACATTTTTCAGGGCGGAAGGGTGACTTGTGCCCCACTGGAAGTCCCTGTAGGGAAGCCCGACGTTTTCTCGAGGAAGTATGTGAGTGGAATGAGTTGTAAACAGAGAACGCAAACTAAATTGTAAATTATGACATAATTTCAGTTTTGGTTTCTTATAGTTAAATATGTAAGTAGTACGAGCCTGATGTTAGAGATACAGCGGAATGGTTTTTTGCGAACAGAGCACCTTTGAACACTATGTCGCCTTTACTGATTCAGACAATTTGATTTTCTAAACATAACAGTCTAAAAAACTGAGAAGCTAAAAGCTTCTATACCATACAAAAGCTGAATTTTTAAATAAATGTCACATAAAACCTTTATATTAGAGCAGTGGTTCTCCTGCTGTGCCAAGGGGAGAAAGAATAATTTTGAAAATATTTTTATGTAGATTCGATGCTCCGCGTCAATGTGAGAGAACGTTCGGGAGTTTGAAACTTCAGATTCTTTAAAGGATTATTGAAATTAAATTATTATGGATATTATTACTGGTTATTCAAGTCAAAGCGGAAGTTTCAGATGATTTTCAAAAATAAATCTAACAAGTGGCACACGGACACCTGAAAATAATAAACCGTAATTTAACTGGCTCTATGATCGGGAAACGTTCGCCAACCCTGGCCTAAAAGTAGCGATCACTTTGTGGAGGACATTCTAAGCGGAACTGTCTTCTGTTGACGTTATACGTGGGGAAACCCACCCATGCAGTCAGCGTTCTTAACCACTCAGCCAGTAGTAGGACAAAATTTGAGTAACAAATCTTGTTTAACAGCTTCCATTTCCTTTTAATCTCCATTCGTTTCCTGTTTGTCTATTCGTTCAGAATCGTAACAAGTTATTTTAAATGTTATAGTAGCTAATAAGAACTAGTACAACATAAGTAACTTTGCAGAACTGTAGTTTCGAATATTAAATAAAACCTTCTTCAGATAAGGAATTTAAAATTACAAAAACAAATAACGTGTGAATGGTAAGATGAAAAAGATTAAAGGGATTTTATTCACCATATATTCAGCAAAATATTTAGTTACTAATACAAATACCTCAGGGAAGTTTACATAAACTTTGACATTATATGTTTAAAGAGAACTTACGTGCGTTCATGATAGATGGCAAAGCTGTGGCATGTGAATTATTTTTAGATGAAGATAGGACTGAATCTGTAAGCAAAGATTCTTGTTTTATGCGATCAGTTGAAGCATTCGAATTACTGTTACCTTTTCCAATATTCTATTCGTGACTTTATAATAAGCAGTACATAGTTCACATAGAAATTTAAAATGTGGATGAATATATACGCATTTTTAACCTGCAGTTCATTTCCTCCTTTTTTTTCACTAAGCACTTTTACTGTGCCCACAAAAGTCCTTACCCAGTCTATGTTTTCGCAACCGTTGATCGTAGGCATCTACTTCCAATTACAAAAATTGTTCTCAGAGCTGCGCGGGATTTTGGATCTGTCATGAAGACCTGTATTTAAATAGCATTTATTAGCTGCATTTGTATAATTACTTTTTTTAGTCTGCATTTTCATAAACTTACATTCATTAAGTCAAATTCAAAGCAAAAAATCATTCATTTCCATTATGAAAGAAAGCAAAATATCTTAAATTACAAATTAATATTTGCCACGTGATCAAAAATTCCATGACCGGATAAAGACACTGTTGCCGCTCAATGGGTTAAATGACTCGAAGATTCATGTTCTTGTACTTTTAAATTTAAAGAAATCAATTTTGGAAAAATTAGGAAACTTTTTTATTCGTTCCTCCGATTCCTTTACTTAGCTTTAGGAAATTTTTGTGCTCGTTATAAAAAAAATCAAACACAAGAAATTTGACTCACGTGCGATATAAATTGACCGAGATATTTGATATTAAAATTGGGACCATAATCAAGGGCCGTACATAATTTGAAGAGCAAAATGTCGGTATTGCAAAACTAAAAATAAAAAATCGTTTAGAAAAAGGTTTCTGGTGTTAAGAGATTACATAAGGTGCGTTTCTATGCAGATTATTGTTCAAAATATTAATATATTTTTTTCCAAATAGTGATTTAATTCACAGAATCTTACAGAATTTCTATTGTAGAAAACACAAATAAAAATATTTTAATTATATATATATATTAATAGATATTATTTGTTAAACACAAATAAAAATATTTTACTTTAATGGATTTTTTAACAATTACTGGATTATGACTCTATAGTAATAAAACGACATGAGTATATTACTAACGCATTTTTAGTTTTTGAAAACTTATAAATTTTTGTGCAAAAATATTTTCTGCATAACAAATGCTATAAAATTATAAATTAAATGCACTAGTAAATCGCAAAACAATGTCATTAAATGGCATTTAAAGGGAAAACATCAGCCTCAATTTATTCTGTTTTATTTACTAATCGACTCCTGAACACAAATTGAATATGAAGTAAAAAATCTCAGATTTTGGAATTAAATATCTTGGTCAATTTTTGTCATAAGACCTAAGTCAAGCCTGTTGCGTTTCAGTTTTTATAACGAATACACCTTCCAAAATGTAAATCCAGTTACCGCAGGAACGTATAGATTTCGTAATATTTACAAAAGTACGTTTGTTGTAGAGTCCAGGTGGGTTAACTTCTATCTGAAATTGGAGTAGCAGAAAAATACTCAGGAGAAGGGTTAAAGTACCCTTTATTAACTCTTTAAAATTTACAATGCGTCAACTCGACACTAACAAACTTCGCCTCTGCTTGCGCGGTAACTGAAAATCACGTAAGTAAACTAAAATTTGAAGATATTAACAAACGATAGACCTAGACTACAGGGCTCAGCGAGATCTCGTAACTTAAACCCCCTTTGAAGAAAGTGGCAGCAGATAAATGCACTTAAGCCACTTGAACAGCAATAAGCAAACGTACCTACGGCAGAGACAGCAGCTACAGCCTAACTCTCCCTTTTTCTTACCGAAACACAGCTTTTTAACTACTTCCTTCAAAGTAGAACTACTTTTAACTACTTCTTCCGCGCGCTACAACATTTAACTATTCTGGCACTGACAATTAGGGAAATGAAGGCTTACAGGAAAGGTCTAAACTCAAACTTTCAATTGTTAGTTAAAATAAATATAAATAGCTACAATGTCTTTAAAATTTAAAAATGACAAAATAATCTTTGCATCATTTAAAACATTTTTGTAATCGTAAGTATTTTTCTACTACTACTTATTGCGGAAATAAAGGCCGGGTAAGGACTTTAGTGCACACGAGGCACACACAGTTTCAGAACTAAAGAGACAATAACAATCTGCAAATTCCTGTGTTTATTTCTAAACTTTAAATATCCTCTCTTTCAGATCAGCCCCTCCCCTCAAGTGACCACACCAAACGTAGGCATGGACTTCTTGAGCTCCGGGCGAGCTAATATGAGGAGGTATTCTGCTGCTGCCCTTTACGCCAGTAGCGGAGTTCCGGCCACTTGCAATAGTCGAGGTCCTAGTCCAGCTGGTTCTGCGTCCAGTTTACTACAGCAGATAGGATCTGGAGTGGTAAGATTCTTAGGATGCATATGCATATACACATATTAGTAATTGCCTGTCATTCTTTCCCTGCTTTAAACATACATAAGTCTTCTGTTGTTTTAGAATTGTTTTGAATTATCTCTTCTCGAATTTTATACATTTTAAGTATCAAATGTAATTATTCCTAACAGTTTATCGGAATATATGTCTCTTGAAATTATAAACAATGCGTCATTAGCTAGCAGAAACTTTTAAAATCTTTCTTTTATAATACTGCCTCTCATTATGATATACTATAACAGAGGTGGCCAAACTTGATGTTAGTAACAGCCGCAGGTTGGAATTCTGAGCCGCAACTAAGTTTTCGAAAACTACAAGTCCATATTTACATCATTTTGAAAGCAGTGAAACAGATTTTCAAATGGAAGAAAACGTCTGATAACTTTGTAAAAAGAAATGTGATAATTTAATTACTTTCTTTTGAACATTGAGTAGTTTTAGTTTACCATATTTCATACATATTATTTTATTTGCTTAAGAGCCACACAGCTCACCTGCGAGAGCCGCGCTTTAGCCACCCCTGATTTATAGCATTATTTTCATTTTATTGCATATTTCTATGAGTTTGTTAATACATTTTACTAAACAGATGTACTGTAAGTATGTTATAAGAATTGCTTATGTAAAAGAATATGTAAAAGTAATATAATTTTGGAGACAAAGCAATGACTCATTTATTAAATTCATTACAAACGATGCAAAAATCTTGTTACATTAGTTAATGAAATAATAGCTTCCTTCCTATGGTGTCGCTGAAAACTCAAAGGACTGAGGATGAAGGGGCAGGATTACTGTATAATAAAATAATGGACCTCGCAGGCCCTCCTTAGCAATGATGTTTTATAAGTATCATATTTTAATTCGATAAAAGTTTCCAAACTTCTTTGAATAGGGAACTATCACAATTTACAACATACTCAATCTGACACAAATAATCAAAATCTAACTTGTCAGAGAAGACTTCTGATTAAATTTACCGATTTGAAATCATATTGAAAAGCCTACTCAACATATTCGCCAACAGAACATTTAGGGCAACATATTCGCCAACAGAAACTCGTTAGTTCATATAATTTTAAAAACCAGGCTCTGTAGATTCATGTTCGATCTGTTTCACTCTAAATGTTTTTCCAGTTCTATATTTATGTGTTCCTTTCCATTACTTGCTGTGAAATAGTTTCTCTCCGAATTTATTCTTCATCATTGCTAAAACTTTCTATAATTTCAGGATTACTTTATTTTTCTTGGTTAGGAAGTGTGCTGTTCTGTGTCCTATAATATCGTCATTAAGCATTACGAAATAGTTTTACATATAAGGATGATTTTCCACATATATCCAAGGGTATCAGATACAGAATTCCTTTTGCTTTCAGGTTGGATGTTCAGACATTTTACTTCTGATTCTGTATTCATAATCTGGTTTCTAAGCTATTATTTATTACCATTGCTAAATTATTATTTTTTAGTTCCTGGACAGTCTTATATTATATGTGTACTTTACATCAGATAGCTCTTGCTTTTTATATGCCTCGTTCGCATCCTCATAGCATGAAACATAGATCTAACTTTCAGCAGTTGCAGTTTCACCCTTTTCTTTTCACTCGATAATTTTAATTTATAGATTTTAATTTCTCTTTAAATTCTAACTCGATAATTTCATTAGGCTTCTGATATCGTCATGATTTTATCATCTTTACTTTACTTTATTTTCTTTGTCTCATGCAATATATTCTCCCTTTGTTTTTGTTATTTTTGGCTTGGTTATGAGGCCATCATCAAGATCTAGAGTATATCGAACATATGTAAGTTTTATTTCTATTTATTCTCCTACGACTTGTAGTTAACAAAATGGTAGCTCCTTTAATTGCGAGATTTCAAAATACCACAAGTATTTAAAACGATACGAACATAATTTATATCCCTCCTAACAAGACTCGGTTCCAACACTGAATTTATTCAATCAGCTCTAGTCCCAAAGGCAAGAAAAAATCACTTACCTTGCCTATCGGATAGGAAACGATATATTTTTCTGTTATATATGCAATGTTGTATTTAAACTCTATAACTCTAGTTTTTAATTTTGCGGTTAGATTTCTTTAGAAATCTGCCTCTCTTCATTGCTTGGCATTTTTTCTTTTCAACCCTGCTAGCCTTGACTGCGGGTAAGACACTAGGCATGCTATGTGATTTTTCACAATTTCTCGGTAAACCACTTGCTATCATTGCTATAATGTACCTGGCCTTTCACGTCTTCGTCGATTTCCTTAACTGTGTTTGATTTTCAAAAGTCCGATATGTTCATCAAGCTTTTGTTTCTTTTCTAATTTTAACTTATAAAGTCTTTTCGGAAGACAGAATTTTCAAAACTTGTTCTTCTATGGATTTTCTTTAATCCGTTCCAAATGGTTTTCGCCGTTGTACTTTATTTATGCACTCTAATTGTCTTTCATGAAGAAATTCATGATAGTCTGTGCTTGTTCGTCTCGATTCTTCTCTTCAGAAATAAATCCTTCTGTAATGAAGTTAGCAAACAAATGCCATAAATTTATCTTCTTCAAGGACATTTTGAATCATATGCCTGCAAATGATAATTGCAATTACTCAGTTTAGCAGCAGGGTGTTATTTTTCATAGCATACAGCAATTTCAGCTTCTATTCTAAACGCAAATTTAAAAAAATCTGATGTGTACACCACGACTTCCTTGTACGGAATATTAAATTATACTCATTTTTTCTTTCATTTCATTTAAACTTATTGGATTGAATTAAATCTACTTCTTCTATAGCGCATAAACCACAATACAATAAATGCACTCTTTAAAATTCACTATATTTGTTTACCATAGCGACACTCTGGCGCTAGGTTCACTTAATAGAGTTATATTTCGTTCATATTATAACTCAGAATGCACAAAATTTATATCATTTGGAGAATTATCTAATCTTTGCCACATGTTCTATTCAAATACTATAATAAATCTAAAACGATGTATAAAAGGAATTAAGCAAACAAAACTAAAAAAACAGTTTTTCCGTATTTCTCATTCAATTAATTCAGTTCTCACTTCGTGAAAGGGCTCACAATATCTATATTAAAAATTACGAAGTAAATCTTATTTATAACACTTATTTCCTCGAAAAATTCCAGAAAGGATTAAGCATGATTTAATTCGCAATAATAAATGAAGGCGTTATCTTTATTGTTGCGAAGCTTAGTCTCTCTAGATTGGCAACAAATCTACTATCTGCTGATTCAAATGTAAATAAATATTTCCGCCATGTCATTTAAAAATTAGGCTTAACCGCACTTAAACAGCTTTTAAATTGTTGATAATTCTACAAATATTGCTTGCAGATTTCCTAAAGGCATAAAAACCTTAACCAGAAGATAAGAACAACATAGTTCAATCATTTTTAAAGCAAAAAATGCGCAATTCACAAGCATATAAAAGTAAAGAAACTGAGATCACTGAGCCGGGTAACAGAAGGAATAGATATATATGTTACCGTGAAAGGCCGAAATTGGAGAATGTCGACTTTCACAGGAGATAACATTCACCAAATACTTCAGTGAAAGATGGAATATTGCATTACATTCTTGTACATTCGGACCCTCACCGGTGTATGTCGACAATCCCAGATATGCTCTGGTGTAGGTCGAAAAGAGAGGAGTATATGTACACGCTGTCATTGCAAAAGAAAGTGTTCCACAAATAAATACAGTTGTAAAAGCAAGGGCCTCTTGTGCAATTCAAAGAGTCATAATAGTTTAAGTTGTTGCAATAAATAAGATTTAAATCACATAATTTAGTAAGTTTAAAAACTTACTTAGAAGTTAAACCTTCTGTTATTTTCTTTTCTCATTTTGAATATACCGTGTGTTTTAAGTTCTTATGCTCTTAAGTTCTTATTTTAAGTCTCAAGTGCGTTTTTCCGCGACTGAATTACGGAGAAGAAAATGTGATATTCTTATATGTTCAACATTCACCATTAGTACATAGTGAATATCGACATTTACCTGTGTAAGTCAGAAATAAGAATATTTGGAAAACATTTTGGACATACACCAAGAGACTATATGAATGTTGACATTCACCGGTGAAAGTCTACATTCTCCAGATTTCGGCGTTTCACCGTAACTATATATATATATATATATATATTTATGCGTTTGGTGCGGCCGATTACACCCAAAATACGAGATGCACATCTACATGTAGCAGTCCTATATACAAAATTGCAACGTTCTGAGGCTACTCGTTTTCGAGTTATGCGAGATATATACGTACGTACAGACACCACGAAAAATTCTCTTCAGAATTCATTTTAAAACAGTTTTATAATTTTTTTCGAGAAAAAGAGGCATTTATTCTGTCCTTACGTACAGATGTCACGCAAAAACATCGTTAAACTGCATTCACTAGCGGTCAAAATGGATGTTTTCGTTGAAATATGCTGTCTGGAACTTTTTGCGATTACAATACTTCCTTTTTACTTCGTACAAGAAAGTAAAAAGAGAATTCATGTAGAGTTAGAAATTTTACATCAGTTTTTTCTGATTTTTAATTTTAACACGCTTGCTACTATGAATATTGACGTATTAGTTTAGATGATCTATAATCGCTCTGTCTATATATTCACATGAACGCATTAAATGGATGCAACAGCAAAAAAATAATAAATAAATAAATTTAGTTTTGTTTACAAGCGAATATCAGTCCCTGTATTCCGTAGCAGTTCATGCCAGTTTTGTGTAAATTTTAAATACAGAGTTATCTACTCTTAAAACTAAATATGAGTATGTCCATAACACATACATACGTTACATAAGAAACATGTTCTCAAAGCAGTTTTAGCAAGTGAATTTAGAACCAGAACTATAAGGATGAAGAAACAAAGCTTATAAATCCAATAAAGCATAAAGCCAGTTCATATAAAATTAAGCAGTTTCCGATGCTGTTTTCTTAGCATTCATGCTATTACTATAACGCTACTGCATACGCAGTATGTATTCTAGAGGAAAAAAATTATAAAACTGTATATTTCCATTCATTTGGATCTCATAAGACAGTGATCTGTACAGGTGTATCTTGAATAATTCTAGTTCTTTTTAATCTTGAAAAGATTTATAAAAATCTCTTTATGAAAGATAGTTTTGATTTTTACGTATTAATTTATCTCTTTTATATTATTCGCTACTGAATTAATTCTTCTGTTATGCTTCAATTGTGCAAAGCAAATATTTTATTTCCCCAAATAAGAAATTGGAGAAAATTTAAGATGTATGGACAAATTTCTGATTTATACTTAGAATTTATTTTTTCTTTTCAGCAATCTCTTTTCGGCAAATAATCTCTTGGTTCTGAAGATGACCGAAGAAAAAGAAGCTATTGGCTCCAAGCAATACTGACCTAACGTTTTTGGGCCTAAATCCCCTCTGACAATCCATGAAAACTCAGCGACAAATACCAACAGTCACCTAGCATCGCTTCTCTTCAACTAGATTTCAACCTTCCATATCAAATCGTGAAGTAGTATGAAAACTCATGATTCCCTCAGTTAGAAGGAAAAAGACACTTTAATATTGCTAATTCTTGTTGTCATTGATTTGTGTTCCGCGAGAGCAGTATTTCCCATTTCTTGTTCTTGCCTTTCTCATAGCCCGTGACGTCTCACTCTAGCTCCCGAAACACGGATCTCAAAGATAGCAACCAATACGTTAGTATACTAATAAATGCTCATTCAATTCATCTCAGGGTAACGTGAATAATAAACATAAAAAAAAGAAATCTTGATGATTTCCCACGTTAACTGTTGAACAAAATGTCTGCTTGAAACTAAATTACAATGCCAAGCACTTTTTAAATTGCAACTACTATTTAAATAAAATGTTGCGCTTAGAATTCCATGTAAATGTTCTGAAGAATTAATAACAGGAAAAGGGAATTAAAATAGAGAAAGAATCCTTTCTATTTTAAAATTATTAAGAACCAATATTACTACTTTATAATTAAATATCACTTAATTATAGCCTTTTAACTGTTATTTTAGTATCAAAAAGTTACACGCGTTGGGTGTTTTTGACGTATAATAGTTTCTTTGGATAGGAGTTTTCTTCTAGTTCGATATAGTTGTTCAATGTTCGTCTAGTGATGGAAAGTCCCGTCAAACTATTCTCCTTTTATAGTCTCTTTTGGTAAGCTAGATTAGTCCTGGATGTATAAAAAGATTTCGAAGTACAAATTAAAATAGTGCAAGTGTCTGATGGAGTGCATATCTCTTATCACTTGAAACATGAATACCAAGAATTGCGTTTTCTGATAAGATTCATTTACTTTTATTTGAAGATACTCTTTAATCCTTGCCTCGGACGATAATTACACTAAGACTTAATATCCAGTGCGCTAAAATTGCTGCTTAGTAATCTTTTTCTATATTACAAAACTACGCAAATGTATAACATAAAGTTAAGCCAAACGTCAGTATTAGACTGGCAAAGATTTATATAAAACTCTGCCGATTTCGAAAAAAACTGCCGTAGGTCCCTCTTTTCCAAGGGCGCATTTATTCCTCCTGAAGGTGAGGGACCTACGTCAGCCACCTTCGATATAGACAGAGAATTATGTAACAACCTGCGACAATCTGAGGTTATTATTTTGCCTAATTTTATATTCATTTATATTGTAGAAAAATAATAAAAGGCTCTATTGTCAATTAATAAGTAATAAGTGCATTATAATAATTAGAAAACTTTTACAAATGTTCATTTTCTATTAATGCAATTCAACGTAAATACGAGATATATGGCTTCAAAGCATTTGAAGATTTTGAATATCAATAAAATTTGTTTTGAAAGATAGAAGCAAACTACGTCTACGAGAAATGGGGTAACTATTTCCTCGTGCAATTTCTCATACATTTTCTGTAAATTCTTTCTGCTAAGTATTTTCAAAAGACATTTTATTCTTTTGTAGTTAAAACTTTTGTGCTCTAGCTTCGCAATGTTTCTACTCAGTTTCACCACTTACATCACTTCTGCAACTTGAAATCTTTACCATTAATTTGAAGTGTAGGGCAAACTTGAAGTTTGACACACTTTCCAAATATCATTAAACTATTTTAAATCTGCTGAACTATAGTTCCGTTATTACTTGCATTTCTTAGTTTTAGTTACGAGTTTCTTAATTAAATTAACAAAAATTACTCAAATTAAAAAGAAATTCATCAGGCATGTTTCTCCGGCTTTGTCTAACAAAAGTTCGAAAAGTTCAATCCTTTTAAATGCTTAACGAAACTTTATTTCTTAAACATATCATCATATATACAGTTATATTTTTTCATTTTATTCTAACCAACTAATTGAACTAAAATTTCATACCTCGTACTAGCTTAATAGAAATTACATTTCAGGAAATTAAGCTAAATTACTAAGAAACATTAATAATCCTTTAGTTTAGGCAGCTAATTCTAAAATTAATCTTGAACAAAAGTTCTTCTCGCAAGTTCAAAGAAAGTAATCAAATTAAAATTAAATACTGCACTTAAAGCGTTAATTTTTCTTTTCGTTACACGGTGCTAATGTATTTTAACTTCAGTTCAACTAAATAATTTCACACATATTGTTAATTCAAGAGATCTAATGGAAACATGTGAGTAATTTTTTTCAAAAACGTAGCAGTAGCAATTTAAGCGTGAAATATGAAGTTACCTAGAATGCACATTTAAAAGCTGCTGTACTAAAACCTTTTACAGGCAAGGCAACTTTGTTTTTACTTTCTAATATTACTATTTGGAATCTAAATTTAATCTATGCAGTTTCTCTTAACATCAAGTAAAATTTACTTGTTTTTATAGACACAATAAAAGTTATATACAATTAAAACACCAGAACATTTTGTAGGGAAAAGCTAAGAAATAAGCACTGAATTTTGCTTAGATTATATACCGTAATATATTCTGGCTATTATCTCAAGCCTATAATGCTTTAATGTAATATTTTTAGAAACTCTTAAATGATGCCTAAGCTCATAACATCTAGGCTTAATGCTAAAATTAATGTTACCTTTTCTGCTTTAATTTTTTTTAAATCTTTCAATAATAAACGCTAAGAGTTTGAATTGAAATTTCCTAATCTGATCTGAGGCGATCCTGTATTATACATAAATAATAATATTTAGATACATTACTTTAATGTGGTTACCATATTTTAAAAATACATGCTGTTAAATGAATAAATTTTAGACAAGCACTTTAATTATTTTAAGCTGAATTACGTATGAAATTATGAAAATACGAAATACATTCTGAAATTTCTTTATGCTTTGTTATTCAACTATGAAGTTACAAAAGGAAAATGTTTTCAAAGTTTTTCAATAAAGCATTTAAATAATTTTAACTGTCTTATATATGTAGTGCATGTTTTACTGTTACGTATTCGCTAATAATGAGTTTACACTATTCAGTCTACGTCATAGTGTATAATAAAACGCGTAATATTTAGCCTGAGCGGTCAGTCTGTCATAGTACTTCTTTTGACTTCATAGTTGTAAGCCAGAGCAAATAGCAAGATCAAAATTTAAAACGGAAACTCATCGACACAACCCTTAGTGAATGAAATAATTCTTTCTCTACATTTCATCTGTGTCATACGTTTTGTAAAGAGTGAGACGTTGCGAGGTAGACAAATGTTCAGTATGAGCGTCTTTTATTTAGACAGAATTTTTTCAAAGAGTAACGACAAAATTTTTTCAGGGGACCATAAACAGCTGAATATTAATAATAGTGACATGTAGGAACCTATGGACAAGGTGCACAGAATAGGGTTTTCGACAAAAAAAAAATAAAATTAGCACTCTTCCATAAAGCTAATATTTAGCAGGGCAGGATATGTAGAAATGAAAAGCGAAATCCTACACAAAGTTGTAAAGTTAGATCAAAGTTTTTTACAGAATTTTACGGACTCGTTGAAATCGTATAAGACAGAAAAAGGATGCCGAAGTAACCTGAAATTTTGCATTTTGAGCTTTCTCTCAAAAACCGAAATGGACCTCCATTGCTATAACTTCCGAAAGGAAGAGAGGGTGAACAGCAATACACTTAACAAACCCTTCCGTTTCTGGATACTAGTGATATCTGCAGGCGGTTAACGATGCACAGACATTGGAAATATGTAACTTACAAAAACAATTGGAGCCATTATTGTGCAGTGTCTTAAATTTGCTTGTGAAATATTCGCTTTTCAGAATTTACTAAATGCTGGCACTTTTGCTTCAATTTGTACTAAACGTCGAAACATATCACGCCTTCCATTACTCTTCCACCTCATACAAAATGTAATAAGTGTCTTGAACATGCAAGCTGCTGCAATTTTCATGCATTATTTACATTCTAATTAAATTTAAAATCCGGTACTCAAAATGCAGCCTTTCCAGCTGAAATTGTTTCTTTATCGAATTTGTCAAAATTATTCAGAAAACATGATGTTAATGATTTGTAATCAACGTTGCAGAATCTTTTTTGGTCTGCTTTAATTACTTGCCTGATCTTTTGAAATACCGTTAAAACATATGGAGTTTTAATTTTTTATATTTAGAAATAGATTTAAAATCATCTTCTCTAAATAATTATTTTTACAGTAATAAATAAATAATGAAATCTTTTTTCATCACTTTTAAGGACAGACTGATGGAACTTATTTTCAAACCCCTGAAGTCTATTTTCTGCAACATATTAACAATTGCATTTCCTTTAATAGATTTCATTACCTTAACTTTTGAAGCTGGTATATATATTGAATAATTCAATAAATACATAGAAGAGGCAACTCGAAGAATTATGCGTGCTATTAAAATTAACAACTCCGGCATTCTATGTTTTTCCTAGTTCTAAACTTTGGCTATTTGAAAGCTTTCAGAAATTCTTCAAACTGTTCTGATAATTATGCGATTTCAACACGACGTAGCATTTAACGCGTAGCGTTAACTTTTGATTGTAAAGAACGCTACACAAGTTTGGACAATCACTTGCCGAATCGTGTCTCTATTTTGTACATAGGTACTTGAATATTCCATTTTTAGTTTACAATAATCAAAAACTTCAAAACCTTTAATTCTTAAGTACGTAAAATTTACAATTACAGCCAAAATTTAATTTTTGGATAACTTCGAGTGTGTCATCTTTTCTGCATTCTATACATCGAATGACGGATACTTAAGTAATAAAAACATGCCCAAATATACACTTCACTTTAAAAAAAAACTTTCGTTCACTCTTTCAGTCAAATGTACTTTGAAACCATATGGACAAACCCAGCCATTCTTTGTGCACGCATTTGGTAATCTGTATGTTTAACCTAGCAAAGTTTTTTCCTGCTATTTCCCTGTACAGACTGTTCAGAATTAAATATTGATACGCATCCTCGCGAGACATTTTATGTGTATTTGTGTTTGTATTTCATGTATCTGTGTTGTAATTGATTATGACAGGCGCTTCAAGTTCTTGTCTCAGTTTCATGTTTATTTGTTTCAAATACTCGATTATTTCAATGGTAATTTTCAAGTACTGATGAAAAATAAATAAATTTTATCTGTGTAACATGCTGTTTCTTTTATTTTATATTAATGGTCCACTTAAAATCTTATATAATACTCTCACATCACATATGGATATTTAATATTTAATATGGTATGGATATTTAATAAATGAATAGTCTTTCCGAAATCCTCCGCTGTAAGCCATACGTTATTTCACAAAATCAATTGAGACTTTCTACGTTGATGCTATTCAGTTAATTTTCTTCAGTGCCAGTGCATTTTCTTCATCGATGACCACCTACAAATTCTACACAGTTAGGCGATATCAGAGTTGTATAAGACGCTATCGATTTCCTATAGCTTTTTTTCTTCCTTTTTATCTTTCCAATGCTCCACGTTAACAGAATAATAATTATCACATATGCTGTTTCGTGTTCGTAGTTAGAAGGAAGTAGTTCCTTAACCATTCAATGTCAATCCTTGCAATTCGTAATTCCAATATGTTCTTACTTGTTAAAGTAATTTGAGATAGTAAGCTAATTTATTGGGAATAGCACTTGTACTAGCTCTTGTTTATTACTTCTATATCTGAGTTAATTTTTAAGTGCTATGCACAAACAAAAAAGTTTTCCAATGCAACTACATGGAGTTGCTAATACCCTTAGTTTTAATATTTGGCCAGCAACAGCAGCAAATGATACATTTTCATTACAGTAGATGAAGTATGTACAGTAGATGTCAGTTAGTAAACTTGATGTTGAAAATTAACTTTTTAATTTTTTACTTCTTCAAAGACAGATTCTTTCTGGGGTGACAGCTCCCTTGTATTTTGAGTTGCTGAGTTATAATTCAGCACACGTAATCCACAAATAAAGAGATCACATCTTAGTGAAGCACTAAATATATTAATAACGAGTTCCAAAATTAATCTTAAAGTTGACTACATATCTTTCCGCCGCCTATTCAAGAGGGAGTTCCTTTCTTCCCCCTCGAGTTTCGAAAAGCTAAAAGTGAACCGAAAACTTCAGCCAGAAGCAATCTAAGGTGTAGAGTGCTACTCACACACAATAAATATGTGGTTAGTTTTTAAAGCTCTGTTTTTAACACCCCTTGTTGAATTTCGAAAAAAATGGAACCGGAACTCTACACTTCTTTGTACACGTCAAACAACACGTCCAATTCTAGCTGTGACGAGGTATGGTAATCAGTATTGACTTGGCTTATAGGAGGTTCTTTATCTACTATAACATTACCTGTTGCACTGATTTTCAAGATTACTAAGAGACGAAAGATATAAGCAGCTACAACAGCTCAGCTCTCCCTCTCCCTATCATGACTTATTAAGCATTAAACTTTAATCTCCTTTACTTTTTCTATTCATAAAATAATATTCTCAGAATGTTCTTACATTAATTAAATTTCATTTTTTCATGTATAAATTAAATAGTACATTTTTAGTAATTGTTAAGCTTGAGCTGTGAATTTTATGCTGACGCATTCAGTTTTTTAACACGAATAAAAGCATTGCTTACAAAAAATAAAACTTATAATCTTTTCTCAACACTGAAAGTTTAAGTTTGCCTTTCTGGCTTGTTTTTTAAAGTGTATTATTTATTTTCATAAAATAATTTTCAAGGAACGTATTTATGACTACATACTACATGGTTTAATTAATGACTACATGACTTAATTAATGAATACATGACATTTGACTGCATGACATTAATGACTGCATGACGTTTAATTGCTGAATGCTCATTTCCACAAATTTCAAGTAGCAAAAATGTTTCTTTACGTACTCGTTTTGTACGAATCTGAATTGCAACATCTCTGTGATTACAACATTCCCTTGCTGTGATATTTAATAAACATACCTTATTCAGGAGCCATTAGTTTATATGTACAGCAGTCTAGCTGTACTCAGTTATGGCTGTAACAAGGGATATTTCAATCCTCCATAGCTTACATAAACACAGATGTAATTACTGTTTTTAAAGTAACAATTTAGGTAATTCTGTAATAAAATATTCATCGTGATCAGAGAAAAGATAAGCATCAGTGTTTCAATCGCAAAGATGAAGCTTAAAAGAATTCATTAAATTTTACTAAACTTCATTAAAATTTAAATTTAAAATATTAAGAGCGAAATTTCTTCCTTATTTTTATGCACTCCTACACCTTACATTCAGTCGAATTTGAAACATCATAAGCATACCTATTTTTATATACAGGGCAAGTTTATTAATTCGAACTCAAAGGTTCTCAGAAAAGCAGCTGGAACTATCCGAAGTTCAGATTATCCGATATTACGAGAAAATATAACTATAAAAGTGTATCACTGATGAAGAAACTTCTCCTAGTATATATAACCACAGAAAATATATTATACTAAGCTATCTAAAATTAAACATATTAAAAAGCAATAAAGACTAACTTCATTATAAAATGAAGCGGAAGATATACAGTAAAAAGTAAACTTTGATTAAAAATGTAAATTACACTTTTAGGAAAAACTGTAAAATGGATGCTTGGTTTTGTTTATTATGCCTACATTTTATGTCTACAGCCACCTTCTCGATTTGAAGTAAACATTTGTATTCATTTTGAGAGGAAGTTTCAATCTGATTAAATGCTTTCAAAGTTTTTATAGATTCCATTATGGCTTGATCATTAGGACGCTTAACAATCTCTGTATTCTCTTCTGAGTCCGATCTCTTCTTTTTCATCTTTTCGGATAGTTTTTATTATGTTATCAGTTCTTAGTTTTCCACAGACTTTCAAGTCTTCGTCTACCCTTACATAATCAGAAAAAGTAACGTTATCACCTTTAACACTTTTTATTTCAGGAAATGCTGTATCAGTATCGTCATATTCTTTGATATGATCGTTCTCTTCAGCCTGAATGAATTTAGTATGACGAAAGCAATTACTAATTGTGATTTTTTTAACAGTGTTCCATGTAGAGTACAGATCATCTATACCGTCAGCAGAGTAATGTCGTGGTTTTCACCACAACCTAAAGAGAAAACGATTTTTTGTAAGAATTTGTTCCAAGATTGTGGATTATTACTTGATCCATTGGTTGTAGATTCGCAATTGTGTTTGGCGGCAAATATTCAACTTGTATGAAACTCAGTTCTGGAAGGTTATTTTGGCAGGGTTGGCGTTATGCACAAATAAGAAAATCTTACTCTTTTCTCTCGAAAACTGCTTATCTATTCCTTTTAACCAGTTACTACAAAAAGATCTCGTGTCATCCATGTTTTTGTACTGGATACATAATCCTGGCATCCTTTAAGACATAGTAAATTCTTGGACTTTTCAATCACTAATAATTTAAGCTTCTCTTTCCTATCCATATTGGCCCACCAGCGGTCGAGCGATAAAGTCGCTGAACACTGGTAGGTCAGTCCGAGGTTTGAATCTCGCGGGCTGGTTGCATGGACGCTTTCGTGATTTTCCTCATGTGTAACGTGTACAGTCAGGTTTCCTTAGAAAGCCCTCCACGAAGGCACTCCCTCCTTAGGCAGATAGCCTTTGAGGCTTTGCCATAATTACATAAAACCAAAACCCATAATAATCCTCTTTTTACTGCTTTTACCCCCTACGCAAGCATTTCCTTTGAAATGTAATGTCCTGTTTGGCCAAGAGTTTACTAAAAAATCCAGGTTCGTTTACATTAAAAATGTCTTTTGGCAGGTAAGTAGAGAAAATCCTTGGCAGTTTTCTACCGAAATTAGTGTATACGTCTTCGCTTACATCAGAGCTTTGACCACATATAATTCGATAAGAAATGTTGTGCCTTGACTTCAATTGAGAAAGCCATCCATCACTGCATTTAAAATCTTCAATACCCATTCGAGTAGCCAATTCGTAGACCTTCGTCTGCAATAGTAGTCCATTTATATCAGAAAATTTCGAGATCTATCCTGCTGGAACCATAGCAGTAGAGCTTTTTCTAGATCTTTTTGGGACGCATTTTACGCATTTCCTTCCTCTAGCAAATTTAGATTTTTCCCATAAATCTAAAATTGATTCCTTGTTTTTCAAATAAGTTGACAAAATACTATTTAATTCCATAATAAGATGCTAACTTTGTCTTACATTCGCCTACCCTATATTCTTCAAAATTTCTATCTTTGCCTATGAAAGTTAGAGTTTTGTACTCTCTACGTGAAGACATCCTGAAGTTTTATATAATCACTCCACACACTAAGGATTAAAAACTAGAGCACATTAACTTGAACTGAAGCAGTTCGAGTTAATGTGCTCTAATTCAAGTTAATGTGCTCTAACATTGCAGGCATAACAGACGCAGTTCTCTAGAATCTGTATTAAATACTCTTTTTTCTGAAATTCTAAGAAAATTGATAACAAATAAACAAATAATTCTCCCCTACCCCGACCCCTTCACAAAGGCTTCTGAATGAATCCAAGAAAAAAGTTTAGGCCAAGGAGCTCTGTCCGTTAAGCACTGATAAGACGTGGACAGTACGACAATAGCCACTAACATTTAGCGGAAGTGGTCTAGGAATGCAGGCATGTGCCTCTTTACACAGAAAAGAAATACAGATGACACAATAAGACGCCGAACAAATACTAATTCAGAAGTCTTTTGTTGTTTGACTTCTGAAATACACATGATTTTTGACGCACAAAATAATAAATACAGCGTATATGTTCTCCATTAAACGAGGAAAACGAATTTAGTTCGAACTTACGGAAGTGATAAAACTTGAGTTCGAATTAATGAGATACTTCTAGCATTGATTTCAATACAATTTTTTTTTGGGGGGGAAGGCGGCCTTTGGATTAGATCGAATTAACCAAAAGTTCGATATAAAGAGCGTCCACTGTATAATCATTTTGTAAACGTTTCTATGAGTAAATTATGTTTATATACTTAGAATTCGAAATTTTACTAAAACTTGATTAGAAATTGCTCAAAAAGTCAGACGAAGATGGTTTTCTTCGATGTAAGCAACTATTTAGCATTTATACAATTACCATACATATTACATAGTGGTTAGGGGACCCTACTGGGGTACCGAAGTGCCTGGG